TAGGATCCCTCTCAGGATGTTAGTGCACCTGGTAGGATCCTTCCGTGATCCTATTGCAGCTGGTCGAATCCCTATATCCTTTTGCAGCTGGTAGGACCACTATAGGAATTTGATTGCAGCTGGTAGATCCCCCATAGGGATCTGATGACAGCTTGTCGGATCCATTTTGGGATCCTATTGCAGCTGGGTGGATCCTTATAATGATCTTATTGTAGCTGGTAGGATCCCTATACGGGGTCCTTTGACAGCGGGTAGGATCCCTGAAGGAATCCGATTGCAGCTGGTAAGACCCTTATAAGCATCTTATTTCCCTTGGCAGGACCCCTGTCGGGATCCTGTACCAATCCGTTTTACAGCTGGCAGGATCCCTATAGGGATTGGATTGGAGCTGGTAGGATCCCAATAGGGACCCGATGACAGCTGGTAGGATCCCTGTAGGCATCCTATTGCAGCTGGTAGGATCCCCTCTAGGGGTCCTATGACAGCTGGTCGCATCCTTGTAGGTATCCTATTAGAGCCGGGAGGATCCTTGTAGGGATCCGATTGCAGTTGGGAGGGTCCCCGTAAGGATCAAAGTGCAGTTGGTAGGACCCCTTGAGGGATCGCATGGCAGCTGGTTAGATCCTTGTTGGGATTCTATTGCAGCTGGTATGATCCCTACAAGGACCCGATGACAGCTGGGAGGATCCCCGTAGGGATCCGATTGCAGCTCGTAGGATCCCTCCAAGGAGACTATTGCAGCTGGTAGGACCCGTGTAGGGATTCAATGACAGCTGGTCGGATCCATGTAGGGGTCCGATTGCAGCTGGTAGGGTCCGTGTACGGATCCTAGGACCACTGGTAGGATCTTATAGGGAGTCTATGACAGCTGGTAGGAGCCCTGTAGGGATCAGATTGCATCAGCTGGGAAGATTTCGATAATAATCCTAGTGCAGCTGGTGGGATCCTTATAGGGACCAGGTTGGATAACCCCATATAGGGATGCTATGACAGTTGGTAGGGTCACTGTAGGGATCCTATTGCAGCTGGTAGGATTCATATATGGATTTACTGCAGCTGGTAGGACCCCATACAGGGGTCCTATTGCAGCTGGTAGGATCCCTGAAGGGATCCGATTACAGTTGGTAGGATCCCTATAGGGATCCTGTGATAGCTGGTAGGACCCCTGTAGGGTTCCGATCGCAGCGGGTAGGATCCCTGGACGGATCCCATGACAGCTGGTCGGATCCCTGCAGGGATAGGACCCCTGCAGGTAGGATCCCTACAGCTGGCCAGATCCCATTGCAGCAGCTGGGAGGACCCCTATAAGGATCGTATAGGACCCCTGTAGGGATCTTATTTCAGCTGGTGGGAGCCTTGCAAGGATCTTAGTGCAGCTGGTAGGATCCCTCTACAGATGCTGTGACAGCTGGTAGGATCCTTGTAGGCATCCGATTGCAGCCGGTAGGATCCCTGTAGGGATCGTATTGCAGCTGGGAGGATCACTAGAAAGGTCTTAGTGCAGCTGGTAGGATCCCTATAGGGATCATCTGACAGCTGGTAGGACCCCTGTATGGATCCTATTGCAGCTGGTAGGATCCTTATGAGGATCTCATATCAGCTGGTCGGATCCCCATAGGCGTCCGATGACAGCTGGTAGGATCCCTGCAGGCATCCGATTGCAGTTGGTCGGATCCCTATTGCAGTCCGATTACAGCTGGAAGGACCCCCATGTAGGGGTCCTATTGCAGCTTGGAGGATGAGTACAGTGATCCTAGTGCAGCTGGTAGGATCCATGTAGGGATCCGATTGCAGCTGGTAGGATTCCTGTAGGGATCATATTGCTGCTGATAGGATCGCTATAAGGATCTGATGGCAGTTGGTAGGACCCCATACAGGGGTCCTATGACAGCTGGCCGGATCCCTGTAGGGATCCTATTGCAGCTGGTAGGATCCCTCTGAGGATCTTCTCGCAGCTGGCAGGATCCATATAAGGATCCTATGTCAGCTGGGAGGATCCCTAGAAGGAGCCTAGTGCAGTTGGTCGGATCCCTATGGGGATTCGATGACAGCTGGTAGGATCCTTGTAGGAGCTTGTAGGATCCCTATAAGGATCTTGTTGCAGCTGGTAGGATCCCTATACGGGTTCTATGACAACTGGTAGGATCCCTGTAGGGATCCGAGTGGAGTTGGTCAGATCCCTCTGAGGATCTTCTTGCTGCTGGGAGGATCCCTATAGGGATGCTATGACAGCTTGTAGGATCCCTGTAGGGATCGCATTGAAGCTTGTAGGACCCCTCCAAGGATCTTATTGCAGCTGGTAGGATCACTATGAGGATCTTAGCGCAGCTGGTCGGATCCTTGTAGGGATCCTACGGCAGCTGGTAGGATCCGTATAAGGATCTCATTGCAGTTGGTAGGATCCTTATAGGGATCCTAGAATCCCCATAAGGATCTTATTGCAGCTGTCAGGATCCCTTTGAGAATCTGATTGCATCTGGGAGGATCCCCATAGGGTTTCTATGACAGCTGGTAGGATGGAGGAGGAGGATCTTCTATAGGGATTATGTAGGATGCTTTTAAGGTTTCTGTCGGATCTCTTTAGGGCTTCTGTGGGATCCTCTATAGGTTTTCTGTAAGATCCCTGTAGGGTTTCTATAGGATCCCTGTAGGGTATCCATCGGATCCCTGTAGGGTGTCTACAGGAGTAGTAAACGGCGTGCAGAATTCCTCGCTTCTCTAGCGCGCACACGTAAGTCACCACTCCGACTCAGCACCGGAGTCCTGAGGGACTCCTCCGGTTTTTTATTAATTCCCGGCGTTGTTGTTGTTGGTGTTGTTGTTGTCGTCGTCGTCGTTGTTGTTGTTGTTGTTGTTCTCTTTGGGGGGGGGGCGGGCGGGGAACCTGGGGCCTGGGGACGATTCCTGCCCACCCCTGGAGGAGGCCTCTGGAGAAATTCGAGCGCCGGGGCCCAGGGAATGTCCCTGTCCTTGTTGTTGTTGTTGTTGTTGTTGTTGTTGTGGTTGCTGTCGTGGTTGTTGTCGTTTTTGTTGTTGTTGTTGTAGTTGTTGTTGCCTTTGCTGTTGCTGTTGCTGTTGATGTTGTTGCTGCTGCTGCTGTTGTTGTTGTTGTTGTTGTTGTTGTTGTTGTTGTTGTCGTTGTCGTTGTTGTTGTTGTTGTTGTTGTTCGTGTGTTCGTTGTCGTCGTCGTTGCTGTGGTGGTTGTGGTTGTTGTTGTGGTGGTTGTTGTTGTTGGTGTTGTTGTTGTTGTTGATGTTGTTGTTAATGTTGTTGTTCGTATGTTCGTTGTCGTTGTCGTTGCTGTGGTGGTTGTGGTTGTTGTGGTCGTTGTTGTTGTTGGTGGTGGTGGTGTTGTTGTTGTTGCTGCTGCTGTTGTGGTGGTTGTTGTCGTTGTCGTTGTCGTTGTCGTTGTCGTTGTCGTTGTCGTTGTCGTTGTTGTTGTTGTTGTTGTTGTTGTTGTTGTTGTTGTTGTTGTTGTTGTTGTTGTTGTTGTTGTTGTATGTGTTGATGTTCGTGTTGTTGTTCGTGCTGCTGTTTGAAGCTGCTGCTATGTTTCGGCCTCTGGGGAGGGGTCCTCGATGTCCGGCGGCCCGCGCCGTGCAGAGAGGAGTCCCGGCGTCGGTGGGGTCTGGGGAGGGGGCGTGCCGCACGGGCGCGCGATCGACTTGCGCGCGTGTGGGCCACAAACCCCCGACGCCGTGATTTTGTCATAAATTCGACCCCCGGGGTCTCGACCAGTTCCCCGGGGCCGGCTTTCCATCCCGAGTCGTTGCTTGGCGGCCCCGAGGCCCGGCAAGGGCCGCCCCAAGGCCGCGTATGGCGAAGAATCTCCCGACTTGCGTGACTCCTCTCATCAGGCAACGACAAAGAGAGCGAATGAGAATCAAGACGCAGCTCATGCTCTGTATGTTTGCTGCTCGCCCCAATGGCGCTGCCTTCGGGCCTGATCGGCTTCACGAGCAAGCCGAGCAAAAGTGCGATGGCATACGTGACAACAATGACGTGCCAACACTTGCCCCATACCTATCACCCTCTCCCAGGGCTTGTTGTTTCAATTTCCCCGATGCGATTCAATTGTACTTCGATGGCCTTCGATTTCGATTCGATTCGACTCGGGATTATGATTTGGGCTCCGATTTCTTTTTGGAGGCATACTAGCTTGCCGATTTCCGCCGACTCGACTTTTCCCGAGTCGGCTGACGATTTCAGCCGATCCGATTCATTTCGACCGCCGATGCGACGATTCGATTCGATTCCGGGCTCTCCTGCTCTCCTCCCTCCTCCCCGCTCCCCCTCCCCCTCCGAAGCGAGCTCCGTCGCTCGGCGCGCCGAGCGAGGCGGGGAAGTGAGAAGAAGGAGAGGGCCCTCGGAGGCGAGGCGGCGGGACTCCTCGGAAGCCGCCGCGGCCGCCGCGCCTTCCGAGAGGCTCTCATGGTGCCTTGGGGGGGGAGCCTGCAAAACCTCTCGGAAGGCCCGGGGGGGCTCCTCCGAGCCTCCTGCTGGAAGGCCTTCTCCTTCTCACTTCCCCCCTGGGCTCGCCGCCGAGTCGGGCTTTGGAGTCCCGAAGCGGTGCGGTGGCAGACCGTGCGGTGAGCTCGAAAAATCCCCAGGACTCCCTTGGCACGGTCCGTCCACGCACGGGCCTGGGACCTCGGGCGCCCCAGGCGCCCGAGGCGTCCTCGGAGAGAGGCCCGAGCCCCAAAACCGTGCGGCGACCCCGAATCCCAGGGGCTCCCACGAGGGCGCGAAGTGATTCGCGCTCCGCGGTCCTCGTTCCTTCTCCCCTCCTCCCCGTCAGCCCTCTTTTCTCCCTTTGGGGGGGGGGGGGGGCGGCGCGAGAGCGCGAGAGCGCGAAGTTGGGAGCCTTAGAGGAGTCCCCACCGACTCGCCACACGGTGTGCTCACCACCCCGTTTGGGGGGCCCCCGACGTGCCCGGGGCAGCGCCCGCGGGCCCGGGCCGGCAGCCCCCCCTCGAGCGGCCGGGCGCGCGCCGGCCGAGGAGGGCCTCGCGGAGGTGAAGTGCCCCCCCCCGCGCGGGGCGAGGTGGGCGCCAGGGACCGTCGGCCACGCGCAGAGCGTCTGAAGTGCACGGCTCCTTTTCGTTGTCGTTGTTGTCGTTGTCGTTGCTGTTGTTGTTGTTGTTGTTGTTGAACATTATTAATTCTAAAGAATAATTATTGTTGGGGCCCCTGGTGCACGGCCCCCCTGCGCCGCCTAGGCCGCAGCTACATTTTCATCATTTTCGTGAGGAAGCCTCAGGTAATTCGATGTGATCAAGATCCGGTTGTTTTGTTCCCCCCCGCTTTCCCTTGCAAAAAACACTATAAAATGACATTTCTTGTTCTAATATAATCAAATTTCAAGAATCCCTTGCAAAAAATAAGGTAAAGTGGACATTCGCGCGCGCAAGACGAAATCCTTCCAAAAGCTTAGTGTTCGGAGCGATTTTAACATAAAAACATCAAAAAACCAATGGTTTTTCAACAAAAAAATGTCAAAATCTCATCCCGCGCGCTCTTGCGGATTCGTAGGAAACCCAACACTTTTTAAACATTTCTGTCAAACGGGCTTTTGCGAGCAACTTTTTCGAACTTCTGCGACAACGGTTGCGCACCTGCCAGGGCCATCATCCCTGTCAAATAATACCATGCGGGACACATTCGTTTTTTCTTCGCGCGCGCACGCCGAAATCTCCAAAAACCATTGGGTTCTTAAGAATTTTACCACCGCGCATCATAAAATCACACGAATCGCACCGTAGGTCCTCGAAAAACAGCTGCACGACTTTTCAAAATTTCCACCCGCGCGCGCTGTCCGAATCCTAAAAAAAAACAATGGTTTCCCAACATTTATGTTACATGAGCTCGCGCGAGCTACTTTCGCACGCTCACAAGGCTTAACAACTTCTGTGGGTGTACGAACGTAGGCTTAACAACTTTGTGGGTGTGTACTCCACGCCAGTGTAGTAGCCACGGTCGTCCGCAGGCCACGAAGTGAAGTGTCCGAACGTCATAGGGCGGGAAGCTGGGTGTGGGTGGTGGCGAAGAGTCGTGTGGATATTTGGTAGAGCTTGCACTGCCCCCCCACAAAGTGGGGGTATTGGCTGGCGTCGCATGAAAACTGGTGAGAACACTGAGCGTTCGGGTAAAGTGATTGTTGTTGTTGTTGTTGTTGTTGCTGTTGCTGTTGCTGCTGTTGTTGTTGTTGCTGTTGCTGTTGCTGTTGCTGTTGCTGTTGCTGTTGCTGCTGCTGTTGAACATTCTTTCTTCTTAAGAATAATTATTGTTGGGGCCCCTGGTGCACGACCCCCCCGCCGCGCCTAGGCCGCAGCCACATTTTCATCATTTTCGTGAGGAAGTCTCAGGCAAAACGGGGGCGTCCGGATCCGGTTGTGTTGTTACGATCGGTTTTCCCTTGCAAAAAATAAGCTAAAGTGGACATTTCTTGTTCTAACATAACCAAACTTCAAGAATCCCTTGCAAAAAATAAGGTAAAGTGGACATTCGCGCGCGCAAGACGAAATCCTTCCAAAACCTTAGTGTTCGTAGCGATTTTAACATAAAAACATCAAAAAAACAATGTTTTTTTCAAAAAAAAATGTCAAAATTTCATCCCGCGCGCTCTTGCGGATTCGTAGGAAACCCAACACTTTTTAAACATTTCTGTCAAACGGGCTTTTGCGAGCAACTTTTTCGAACTTCTGCAACAACGGTTGCGCACCTGCCAGGGCCATCATCCCTGTCAAATAATACCATGCGGGACACATTCGTTTTTTCTTCGCGCGCGCACGCCGTCGTCGTCGGCCGCGGGGCCCTGAATAGTAGCCACGGTCGTCCGCATGCCACGAAGTGAAGTGTCCGAACGTCATAGGGCGGGAAGCTGGGTGTGGGTGGTGGCGAAGAGTCGTTTGGAAATTTGGTAGAGCTTGAACCGGCCCCCCCACAAAGTGGGGGCATTGCCCGCCTCCTACGAAAACCCTGGCACTGGTGAGAACGGAGTGTCCCCACGTGCTAGTAATTGTTGTTGTTGTTGCTGCTGCTGTTGTTGTTGTTGTTTCTGCTTTGTTTGTTCTCCCTCTCTCTCTCTCTCTCCTTACCTCTCCATCCTCACCTCTCTCTCATGGTTTCGTATTGTCCAGACCTCCTGGGCGGCACGCGTCGAAGAAGTCGCTGCGCCCCGCGCCGTCGATTTTCAGCCACGCGCAGAGGGGGGTGGCGGGAGGGGGAGGGCTTTTTATAAGCACCCCTGCTTCTCAGAAGGCGCGGGCCTCATCTACAGATGTAAGGCCGGCGCCCTCTAAGAAGCAGCCTCCTTCTAAGAAGCCCTTCCCCCTCCATCCACCCCCTTGTGCGCGCCGCCAAGACCGGAGCTGGCGGGGGGTCTGAGGCGGCGCAGCACCGTCTTTCAGGTCGGGCGTGTGCCTCTGTAGGAGGAGCCTTCCAAGATAGTCAAAGAGTCGTCCGGGCACTATTTTTTTGTTTTTGGGGGGGGGGTAATTTCTATGTCATAAAGACCTTTGGTCTGTTTTTTAGAATCCTAAAAATGACTATTTCAAATCTGGCTCCGGCCGGGGTCGGGAAGGTTTTGATTGCCTCTTGTCAGCCTCGGGCTGCCGCTTGCGGGCCCTGGGAGCGTCACAGATCCGGGGGTGAAAAATTGCACCAGATGGATTCCGTGAGGGGATCGGGCACCGATTTTGAACGGATTTGGCTCCCTCCCCCCTCCTGACGAGTTCAGACCCCCTGGCCGCCTCGAGGGCCAGGACAGGGTCCATTGGATTCGATCCGACATCGACGTCGACCGTCTCGATCCGATTCGATCCGATTCGAGAGCGATCCGACGCGGCCCGATGCTCGTGTGGCGCTATTGTGCATCTCTTGGCGGAGCCGATTCGATTCGATTCTGGCTCCGTGCCGATGCAGCCCGATTCGACGCATTTTCCGATTCGATCCGATTTTCCGGTTCGGTGTCGATTGCTCAGGTCAGGAGGAGGAGGCAGAGACATCTCGATGCCTTAACGCTTCATGCCTTCGCCCCCTCGCCTGGTCTGATCGAAGACGCCTACGGCGAATCACCGCCGCCTCTTGCCTTGTGGAATGGCCCATGTGGCCTAGCGTTGTGGCAAGAGCTCTGCCAAGCTATCGGGCCATGAGTTCTCCCAGCCATTGTGGAAACCCTTCGGGGAACACTTGGGGGAGGATGGCGGGGAAGATCAGGAGGAGGAGGAGGAGGAGGAGGAGGAGGAGGAGGGCATCTTGGGAGCCTGCGGGGGCACTCTTGGGGCCTCCCGGGAGCTTCCTGGGAGCTTTTTGGAGACATCTTCGGGGCCTCCTTGGGCCTCTTGAGAGGGGGCTTCTCGGGGGCCTCTTCGGCCGTCTTAGGGCATTCCTGGCCCGTCTGACACTGTCGGAAGCCGTCTTGGGGGCCTCTTCGGGCCGATTTGGAGACCATCTTGGGCGTCTTGGGGGCATCTTGGGCCGTCTTGGGGGCCGTCTTGAGGCCGTCTTAGTGGTCTCTTGGGCCGTTCTGGGACCATCTTGGAGGCCTCTTGGGCGATCTTTGGGGGCTCTTGGGCCGTCTCGGGCCGTCGGAACGCCGAAAAGAAACAAATGCCCAAATCCTTTAACAAAAACCTGAGGATCATCAATGATCTTGGCCTCTTCGGGCCTTCCTGGAGGCCCTCTTGGAGGCCTCTTGGCCGTCTTGGAGACCTCTTGGGGGCCTCGTGGGCCATCTTTGAGCCATCTTGGGCTGTCTTGGTGGCCTCGGCGGACTTGGAGGCATCTCGGACCCTCTCGGGCCGTGTTGGAGGCCATCTCGGACCATCATGGGCGAACCTGAGGGTCATCTTGGCCGTTTTGGAGGCCATCTTGGAGCCATCTGGAGCATGAAAAACCTTTGCAATCCTCTCTGGAAGGGTCTTCCAGGTGGCCGGCGCAATGGACCGAAGCCCCAGGGGGCGTTTTTTTTCGAAAGGAGCCACAGCCAAGCCACATAGAATTCAGCACGCCAGGCACCCCTGTGGCAAGCCAGCAGGGGGCAGCGACTGGTGGCCGTCGGCCCACCTCGCCACCGTCTCCTGGACCGATCGTTCCTGAGTCTCCTCGTCTATGACGCGAGGCCCTCTGTGGCCTGTCTGGGAGGCCTCTTTTGGCCCGCCTTTAGGCCCCCTTGGGCCCGAAAAGGTCACACGGGACCAGCAAGCGGGAGCAGGAGGTGAAGGAGAGGGGGTGGGGAGGAGGAGGAGGAGGAGGAGGAGCCCTGAAGTAATGTCTCTGCGGCGCGTTTCCCCTGTCAGTGGGCCCACTTTCCTGGTGTCACCACCGTGGATAGCACGGTGGTCGCAAGCGCCCATGGAGCAAGGGCAATTATCTTTATTGGAGTCACTCTTCCCTCGGATCAGCCTTGCGCCCTCCCGCGTGTCCTCTCCAATCACGCTCGACTGTATCTGGAAGGTGTTAGCGTTAAGCCGGGCCAGCCCTCTACAGGAGGAAATGTATTTAGAAAAATGCTATGGGGACGATTGTTTGAGTATTCTTTGGCTATTTTGGAATATTTGTTCATTTTTTGTCGTCCAAAATCCGCCTGTCTTGGGACATGCCCGACCTAATGTTAGCAGCAGGATTCGCACAATTGCAGGTCCTTCTCTGCAGCCGAAGCTGGGTCCATCACGAATCAATCGGTCCGATTCGATGTTGCCGATGCCAGGCAGCTCGATCCGATCCGATTCGAACTGCCTGGCGATCCTGTGCGGGCCGATGAAGTTCTTCCCAGCCGTCCTGTAGTGTTGGGTCCTCGTTTTGAAGAGCAGCGCCCCGCGCCACTCCTCCCTCTGCCCCCTCCCTCCTCCCATCCTCCTCCTCCTCCTCCTCCTCCTTCTCCTCGTCGTCGTCATCATCACCACCACCACCACCACAAATCATCATCAGCAGCAGCATCACCATACTCATAATCATCAACATCATCGTCGTCATCAGAATCAACATCATCACCACCACCTCCATCATCATCATCATCATCATCGTCATCATCAGCAAAATTGTGATTATCAGTATCATCATCATCATCACCATCATCGTCATTACAAACATCACCATCACCATCACCACCATCGTCATCACCACCACCACCACAATCATCATCATCATCAGCATCATCATCATCACCATCATTATCATCACTATCATCATCGCCATCGCCATCGTCATCGCCATCGTCATCATCATCATCATCATCATCAGCAGCATCAGCATCATCATTATTATCATCATGATCATGGTAGTCAACATCACCATCATCGTCATCATCATCGCCGTCATTATCACCATGATCGCCATGAGCTTTGGCACTCCCCTCACACGTTTCGTGGCCCCACGGGGAGCTCCACCGACGGCCCAAGTGGTGCCGCCCGCAGGTGGGCGAAACCCCGTTTGGGCACACCCCTCACACGTTTCGTGGCCCTACAGGGAGCTCTACCGAAGGCCCCAGCGGCACAGCCCGCATGTGGGCGACACCCCGTTTCGGCACACCCCTTAGACGCTTCGTGGCCCCATGCGGAATTTTACCTGCGGCCCCAGTGACGCACCCCGCTTGTCGGCGACACCCCCGTTCTGGCACACCGCTCATACGTTTCGTGACCCCAAAGGGAGCTCCAATTACGGTCCCAGTGGCGCAGCCCGCATTTTTGGGCGACACACACGTTTCGGCATACCCCTCACACGTTACATGGCTCCACAGGGAGCTCCACCGAAGGCCCCAGCGGCACAGCCCGCATGCGGGCGTTGCCCCATGGGGAGTTCCACTTAAGACGGTACTCAGAATTGCGGTTCTCACAATTGCAATTTGTTGTGTTTCTCGCCAGGCAAATTTTATATTTCGGCGATAACCCGGGTTATCTGGTGGGTGGGAAGGGGGGCACTGGTCGATAACCTGACCCCGTGCTTTGTGCAGCCCCTTGCATGCCCGTGCGCACCCATATTGCGTACCCCATTCCAGACTGCGCAATTGACAAGGTCAGGTTATCTAGGGGGAGGGGAGGTGGCGGGCGTGCCCGATAAACCAGGTTATCGTGTGGCCCTAAGACGTAGTCTCATGCTTGCATCCTGGCGCGGTCGATCGCTTCGATCCCGATCCCGTGCCCGTACGGGATGACCCGAAGCACGTTGCCGATTCGGTCCATCAGTTTCCCGATTCGATGTCGACCGATTCCGCTGTGCTGCCGAGGTACGAGTGGTACAAGGCCGCTAAGGCTTCGTCGTTCCTGAAGGAGTGGGTCTCCAGCAAGAAGCTCACCGTTCGCGTAGAGGACTGGGGACATGCCGCTGCTCTTCACTGGCGGGGGAGGGGGAGGAGCGGGAGGGGCACGATTTGCACGGTCGGCCGACACACCTCAGCCCAGTGCTCGCTTCTCCTGAAAGGAGGACTAGGATATTGATGATGAGGAGGAGGGCGTATATCTCTGATCTGATTGTTGCAGCTCCGGCTTTCTTTTTCGATTTCGGCCTTGAATGATCTTTTACTCGGCCCCAGGGCAATCAAAACATGGTCCTGGAACGTTGCCTTCGGGGAAAGGTTCTGGACTCGGGATCTTTGTGGCATCGCATTGAAAAAGACATCGTCGGATGTCTTGGGCGGAGGAGGATCATCTATCGAGGTGCATGTGGCGAAGGAGTCGGGGGGGAGGACAAGTTCGACAGGTCCAACGAGTCAGTGGGCCCAGCCGATTCCCACCCGCCCTGCCACAATATAAGAATCAATGACGGCCCAGCGGCCCACCTTGATATTGGGACTGGAACGCGTTCCTGCATAGCGAACGGAAGGCGCTCACGCGCGGTCCTGCTTCTGAGAGGAACAAGTAGGAGATGAGGGGAGGGAGGAGAGACGTGAGAGCTTGAGAGGGGGAGGAGGAGGAGGAGGAGGAGGAGGAGGAGGAGGAGGAGGAGGAGGAGGAGGACGACGAAAAGGTTGTTGATTCGGAGAGATGGGCTTGATGAGGAGGGGGAAGAGAAGGAGGAGGAGGATGAGGAGGAGGAGGAGGAGGAGGAGGATTTGGAGGAGGAGGAGGAGGAGGAGGAGAAGGAGGAGGAGGAGGAGAGAGGAAAAGGAGGAGAGCTAGGAGCAGGAGGAGGATGATGACCTCCCCAAGGACCTGCAGCCGGGGGAGTGGTTCGCCAAGCAGTGGCCGCCGAGGGGACAGGGCCTCTGCCGAGCGCTGCCCTTCACCCCCTTCCTTTTCGAAGAAGAGAGTTCGAAGAAGAAACATCGGCACGAACAGAAACTTTCGGAGCTCCGCTCGGATTTCTCGTGTCGGAGCTGGGGGCTCCTTGGCGACGCCTCTGGCGCCGCCCGTGGCTGGGGGTGGGCCAGCGCAGATCCAAGAAGCCCGGGCGGAGTTCTGACAGTTTATGTTTATGTACTTTTCTTTTTTCTGATTAGAATTAACGAGTTTTCGGAGGTTGGAGGTGAGGACGAAGTAAAACGGAGACCACCCACAGTGACATCGGTTTCGGTTTCATGACGTGCGTGCGGGTGGGCGAGGCGAGGCTGCGTGGGCGGGTGAGCGGAATGAGCTCGCCGCTGCTAGGGCGAAACTGGGCCAGGTGTTGTTTTTCACTCGGGTTGGCCGGTGGTGGCCGGGGAGGTGTCCCGCCGGTTGGATGGCGTTGGAGCCCGTATGGGGGTGTCCCGCCGATTGGGGGTGTCCCGATGGTGTCCGTATGGTGCCGCGATGGGGTGCCCCGATGGTGTCCGCATGGTGCCGCGACGGTGTCCACATGGAGTCCCAGTCGTGTTCCAATACTGTCCCGACGGTGTCCCGATGGTACCTCGATGGTACCCCGATGGTGTCCCGATGGTGCACCGATGGTGTCTCGGTGGTGTCACGATGGTGCCCACATGGTGTCCACATGGTGTCCACATGATGTGCCGATGGTGTCCAACTGATGTCCTGATGGTATCTTCATGGTGTTCCGATGATACCATTCATTTGTTCCCGCAGTGTCTTCAGGTGCTCCTCCCGATGGTGTTTCGATGGTGCCCCGATGGTGCCCTAAGGATGTCGCATGATGTCCACATGGTGTCGACATGGCGCCCCGATGGTGTCCCGATGGTGTCCTCATGATGCCCCGATGGTGTTCCGATGGTATTCAGATGGTGTCCCGATACTGCTCTGATGGTGTCCCAATGGTGCCCCGATTGTGTCCCGATGGTGTCCACATGGTGCCCCGATGGTGTCATTTACTTGCCCCCGCAGTGTCTTCAGGTGGTTTCGATGGTGTCCCAGTGGTTCCCCTATGGTATGGCGGCGCCTCCGGCGCCGCCCCTGGCGCACGGGGCCAGTGCCGATCCAGGACATCCGCGCGGACCTCCGAAACGCGTATGCGTATTCTTTGCCCGCCCGCGACGGTTCCTCGATGTCAAGCAGAGCATTGCTGCCGGCTGCGTTCCGCCGCCCACTCGTCTCCTCCTGCCTCTTACCTCCTGCCCTGAGGGCAGGAGGTAAGAGGGCAGCCCTCTGCCATGCCTCGTTCCTCGCCCTCCCCTCTCGCCGTCCCCGGGGCTGCGAGCTGCGGAGCCGTCGCGCAGGTTGTTGGCTCCTCGGAGGTCGAGCGGAGGGACGTCTTGTCCAGGTCAGATGAGACCTCGCCGTCCCTTCGGGCTGCGAACTGCGAAACTGTCCCACATGTTGTTGGCTCCTGGGAGGTCCAGCGTAGTGTCATCTCTTTCAGATTAAGATGAGACCTCACCGTCCCACCGTCCCTGGAGGCTCCGAAATTCGAAGCTGTCGCTGTTTTCGCAGGCTCCTGGGAGGCCCAGTCAGGTACTTTTTCAGGTCAGATGACGCTCGCCCTCGCTGGGGGGCTGCGGACTGCGAAACTGTTGCCACTTTCGTTGGCTCGTGAGAGGTCGAGCGGAGTGACGTCTTTTTCATATCAGATGAGACTTTGCCGTCCCTGGGGGCTCCGAAGTGCGAAGTTGTCGCCGTTTTCGCCGGCTCCTGGGATGCCCAGCTAGGTGACGCTTTTTTCAATGTCGGGGATTCCTTGGAGTTTCAGCGCAGTGACGTCTTATCCAGATCAGATGAAATCTCTCCGTCCCTCTTGCGACCTGCGACACGATCGCCTTGTTCCCCACATCCTGAGTGGGGTTTTTGTTTTCCCAGAGCACCCTCTCCTCCCTCTCACGTCTGCCTTCCCCTTCCACTACCACTACCGTTCCCACTATTACAACGATCGCCACCATTACTGCCACTGCGACTACCACTGCCGCGAACATTACTGCTACGAATCTTACTGCTAACGCTACCACTACCACTACCACTACCACTACCACAACAACTACTACTACCACTACTGCTACTACTTTCACTGCTATCGCTGCAACAACAACTACTACTACTACTACTACTACAGCTACTCTTACTATTAATATTACTACTACGAACACGATGGCGACGACTACTACTACTACTAATACTACTACTACTACTACCACCACTACTACTACTAGTACTACTACTACGACTACTACTACTACTACTACTACTACTACTACTACTACTACTACTACTACTACTACTATCACGACGACTACTATTGCTACTACTACTACTACTACCACTACTACTACTACTACTACTACTACTACTACTACTACTGCTACCTACCACTATTACTACTACTACTACTACTACTACTACTACTACTACTACTACGACTACGACTACCACCAGTACCAATACTTGCACTACTACAAATACTATGGCTACTACTGCTACGAATGCTACTATTCATTACACTAGTACTACGACTAAGACTACCTACTACTACTACTACTACTACTAATACTACTACTACTATCAGGACGACTACTATTACGACTATTCTTACGACAACTACTACTATTACTTCTTCTGCTTCTGCCACTGATACTACCTACCACTACTACCACTACTCCTACTACTGCGATTGCTATTACTGTTGTAGCAACAACTTCTACGACTACTACTACTGCTACTACTACCGCTACCAGTACAGCTGCTACGACTCCAATTACTACGACTATTATTACCACGGCCGCCACGACCGCTACTACCCCTACCACGGCTACTATTACTACTACTACTACTACTACTACTACTACTACTATTACTACTACTACTACTACTACTACTACTACTACTACTACGACTTACTACTATCCTACCACTACTACTACCACCAGCATCACCACTACTACTACTACTACTACTACTACCACTAATACTACTACTACTTCTACTACTACTACCACGGCTACTATATACCACTACTGCTGCGAGTGCTACTACTAGTACTGCTACTACTACTACTACTACTACTACTACTACTACTTCGACGACTACTACGACTACTCCTACTACTATTGCTTCTACTCGTGCGACTACCACTTCTTCGACTTTTGCTACTACTGTTACTGCTACTGCGTCTGCTTTATCTGTTGCTACTCAGCTACCATGGCTATTCCTACTACTGCTACTACTACGACTTGCATTTACATGCTTAGTAGCCATCGTAGTAGTAGTAGTAGTAGTAGTAGTCGTAGTAGTAGTAGTAGTAGTAGTAGTAGTAGTCGTAGTCGTAGTCGTAGTCGTAGTAGTAGTAGTAGTAGTAGTAGTAGTAGTAGTAGTAGTAGTAGTAGTCGTAGAATAAGCAGAAGTAGTAGTCGTCGTAGTAGTAATAGTCGTCACAGTAGTAGTAGTAGTAGTCGTCGTCGTCGTCGTCGTCGTAGTAGTTGTCGTAGTAGTAGCAGTAGTAGTAGTAGCAGCAGTAGTAGTGGCAGTAGTAGCAGTAGTGGCAGTAGTTGTGATTAGACGAGGAGGAGAAGCAACAGTAGTAGCAGCAGTCGCACCAAAGAAACGACATATATCTTCACAACTTTATACCGCTCAGCACACATACAACATACATATGAGAGACACACAACACATGTACGTACCACAGGCGGGACATACGACACATATACGACGCGTGCCACATCCCACGAAACAGATGCCCACATGCGTCCCAGGATTGTGTTTCTAGGGGTCACGTGTGAGGCATCATGATTGTGTCTCTAAGTTTGTGTCAATATAGTGTCTGTAAGGTGTAAGTGCGTGTCGGGTCTGTGTCTCCAAGATTTATATGCGCGTCGTGCCTGTGTCTCTTCCGTTCGAGTGCGCGTCGTGCCCGTGTCGCTACGTTTTCAGTGCGTGTCAGGATTGTGCCTCTCTTGTTTCAGTGCGTGTCAGGACTGTGTCTCGAAGGGTGATTGTCGAGATTGTGTCTCGAAGGTTTAAGTGCCAGTCTGGGTTGTGTCTCTAAGGCTTAGGTACGTGTCGTGTCTGTGCCTCTCAAGTTTAAATACGCGTCAGGATTGTGTCTCTAAGGTTTATTAGGTGTGTGGCAGGAGTGTGCCTCTAATGTCTATGTGCGTGTCAGGATTGCGTCTCTGAAGCTTACGTGCGTGTCATGAGTGCGCATCTAAGGCTTAAGTGTGTGCTAGCGTTGCGTCTCCAAGGTGTAAGTGCGTATCGGGTCTGCGCATTTCAGGTGCAGTTGCGTGTCAGGATTGTGTCTCTAAGATTTCGAGTGCGTGCCAGGATGATGTCTTTAGGTTTACATGCGTGTCATTATTGTGTACGTGCGTGTCGGGATCATGTTGAATATTTAAGCGTGTAAAAAATGTGTCTGAAGTGTCGGTGTTTGTCGGGATTATGCCTCTCATGCTGAAGTGTGTGTGTGTGTCAATAGTGCGTTTGTAAGATTTAAGTGCGTTTCAAGATAGTGTCTGTAAGGTTTTCATGAGGAGAAGGGGAACGAGAAGGAGAAGGAGAAGGAATGCGCATGAGGCTCTCAGAAAGAGAAGGAGGAAAAGGAGGAAAAGGTGCAGGAATCAAGGTTTCCGCTCCCGTAGGGAACCCGGCAAGGGTCTCATCCAAAGAACAACCGATTCGGCGTTGGCTCCGTTCACCCGGAGAACCATCCGATTTCCATTGGAGCCAACCTTTTCTCTGGAGGACCTAGTTTCCCACCACGCTCCTCAATGGAGGTCCCGCCAGAGCGCGGAGGGTGTTGAAACACGAAGCAATTTACACGGTTTCGTGTCCTTCCCAATCTCCAGGGAGGCTCCGCCAGAGCGAGTAGGTTTTCGGACCATCATAT